TCTTTAAATAATAATAATAATAAATAATAAAATAAAAATTATGAGGCAGGGTATGGAGGCTCACACCCATAATCCCAGCACTTTAGGAGGCTGAGGCAGGTGTATCACCTGAGGTCAACAGTGCAAGACCAGCCTGGCCAACACAGTGAAACCCCATCTCTACAAAAAATACAAAAACTAGCAAGCATGGTGGTGTGCGCCTATGGTCCTAGCTACTTGGGACGCTGAAGTGGGAGGACTGCTTGAGCCTGGGAGGTGGAGGTTGCCATGAGCTGAGATTGTACCACTGCTCTCTAGCCTGGGTGACAGAGGGAGATTCTGTCTCAAAAAATAAAAATAAAAGATAAATAAAAATAGTTAAGATGGCAAATTTTATGCTATATATATTTTATCACAATTTTCTTTTTGTTTTGAGATGGAATCTTGCTCTGTCGCCCAGGCTGGAACGCAATGGTACAATTTTGGCTCACTGCAACCTCTATCTCCCAAGTTCAAGAAATTCTCCCACCTCAGTCTGCCAAGCAGCTGGGATTACAGGCACCCACCATCACGCCCAGCTAATTTTTGTATGTTTAGTAGAGACAAGGTTTCACCATGTTGGCCAGGCTGGTCTTGAGCTCGTGGCCTCTGATGATCCGCCCACCTCAACCTCTCAAAGTGCTAGGATTACAGGTGTGATCCACTGCACCCAGCCCACAATTCATTAAAATAATAAAGAAATCAATACAGAAGTGACTGTATGTGTGCGTGTGCATGTATGTGTACACATCTACACTCCCTAGCTGTATCCACTGAGAGGGACAGGGAACAGCCTCACCCTAGAGGCAATGAGTACATGTACATCCAGATCTTGATTCTAAATACCATTTCAAAAAAGGGAACCAGGATCTTCGAACCAGCATCTTTGGAGAACAGACTGATTCCAGGGCTGAGACATAAAAAGGTACAGATGCTCCTGGAACAGCTTGTACTAAAAAGCTGAAAGAAGGCCGGGCGCGGTGGCTCAAGCCTGTAATCCCAGCACTTTGGGAGGCCGAGGCGGGTGGATCACAAGGTCAAGAGATCGAGACCATCCTGGTCAACATGGTGAAACCCCGTCTCTACTAAAAATACAAAAAATTAGCTGGGCATGGTGGCGCGTGTCTGTAGTCCCAGCTACTCAGGAGGCTGAGGCAGGAGAATTGCCTGAACTCAGGAAGCGGAGGTTGCGGTGAGCCGAGATTGCGCCATTGCACTCCAGCCTGGGCAACAAGAGCGAAACTCCGTCTCAAAAAAAAAAAAAAAAAAAAAAAGCTGAAAGAATGATGGGTCACCACAAAAGGGCATGGCCACAAGCTTGAGTGGGCTCCCACTGGCCAAACTGAAGTTTTTCTTTGTTTGTTTGAGATGGAATCTCACTCTGTTGCCCAGGCTGGAGAGCAGTTGTATGAACTCAGCTCACTTCAATATCTGCCTCTCAGGTTCAAGTGATTCTCCTACCTCAGCCTCCCAAGTAGCTGGGACTACAGGTATGTGCCACCACACCTGGCTATTTTTTTATTTAATTTTTTTGAGATGGAGTTTTGCTCTTATTGCCAAGCTGGAGTACAATGGCATGATCTCGGCTCACAGCAACCTCCACCTCTTGAGTGCAAGTGATTCTCCTGCCTCAGCCTCCTGAATAGCTGGGATCATAGCCATGTGCCATAATTTTATATTTTTAGTAGAGACGAGGTTTCTCCATGTTTGTCAGGCTGGTCTTGAACTCCCAACCTGAGGTGATCCACCTGCCTCAGCCTCCCAAAGTGCTGGGATTACAGGTGTGAGCCACCATGACTGGCCTAATTTTTATATTTTTAGTAGAGACAGGGTCTCACCATGTTGGCCAGGCTGGTCTCAAACTCCCGACTTCAGGTGATCCACCCATCCCAGCCTCCCAAAGTGCTGGGATTACATGTATGAACCACTGCCTGGCCTGGGAATAATTTAATTATTACAATGAATAGTGAGAGTCACAGATTATAACCCACTGAATTCACGAGTCCGTGCAAACATAAATAAATCACTCGTCCAAGATCAGAGTGGGGTAAGGTAGCACCGCGACGAAGGATGCTCCCTCTCATTTTCCTTTAGCACTTTCCTCCCCCCAGATACTGTGAGTGGGAAGGACATGACACACAGAACAAGCTGGAGGCCCAGAAAATTCCTAGAGAGACTGCCCAGGACATATGGACTTTTGAGATCTGTCCAATGTCATTTCCTGCTTCAAATCGTGTTGGGGGAAGGGAAGGTGCAGGAGGTGCAGTGAGGGAGGGGGCGTGGGGGTGAGAGAGTCAGGAGAGCAGGGAGGAGGCTGGTCCATCAGCTGCGGCTTCCAATGATGCCTAGGGGCTGGTGGGGGGGTGTGGGTGAGGGACCTCCCGGAGAGCAAGGTGCCCACATCTGGTTCACATTGAAGGGTAAAAACAAATGGGTTTGTGAGCTGGAAGAAGCACAGTAGACGGCTAAGCCGTGCCGCTCGGACACTAGGGCACCGCATCCCCTCTTCCATGAGTCACTGTGCCTGGCCAGCTCCCAAGGGCTTGCAGAGGGGACACTGTTGGAATAAGGCTATTTTCTCTGCTTAGAACCACATTATCTGGGTCCAGCTCCTCCTAATGTATGAACCAGCCTCATCGTGTGTCTGGAGAAGCTCGTTCTTTGATTTGTAGATGACTCATTTCAGGCCCTTGAACGAGGCTGAAAGTGCACATGTGCCAAACTTCACCGTGTCCACCCACAGGGCTTGTTTTTGCTTTGTGTAATGCCTCCCTTGGCTGGGAAGAGACAACAGCTTGCTGTGGAATCTGGAGCAACTTTCTTAACTTCTGTGAGCCTCAGTTTCCCCAAATATAAAATGGAAACAACAGTTCCTCCTTAAGGGGACACCGTTGGCCTATTAGAGTTACTGAGCATCAGGCCCAGCCACAGTGCCAAAAAGCTCTTAATCAACAGCCACCATTCCTACTGGTCATCTGGACTCCAGTCTTATCTCTTCTATTGGGTATTTAAAGTCAGCCTATAGTCCCAGCTACTTGGAAGGCTGAGGCAGAGGTTGCAGTAAGCTGAGATTATGCCACTGCACTCCAGCCTGGGTGACAGAACAAGACTCTATCTCAAAAAAAAAAAAAAAAAAAAATGGCCAGGCACAGTGGCTCATGCTGAGACGGGTGGATCACAAGGTTAGGAGTTTAAGATCAGCCTGGCCAAGATGGTGAAACCCCCATCTCTACTAAAAATACAACAATTAGCTAGGCATGTTGGTGGGCGCCTGTAATCCCAGTTACTTGGGAGGCTGAGACAGAGAATTGCTTGAACTCGGGAGGTGGAGGTTGCAGTGAGCCAAGATCACACCATTGCACTCCAGTCTAGGCAACAGAGCAAGACTCCATCTCAAAAAAAAAAAGAAAGTTTAAGGTAAAAAAGACTTTCCTCTAGGCCGGGCAAGGTGGCTCAAGCCTATAATCCTAGCACTTTGGGAAGCCAAGACAGGTGGATTACCTGAGGTCAGGAGTTCAAGACCAGCCTGGCCAACATGGTGAAATCTCATCTCTACTAAAAATACAAAAATTAACTGGTCATGGTGGCATATGCCTGAAGTCCCAGCTACTTGGGAGAGGCAGGAGAATCAGTTGAACCTGGGAGGCAGAGGTTGAAGTGAGCCAAGATCACACCATTGCACTCCAGCCTGAGTGACAGAGCGAGACTCTGTCTCAAAAAAAAAAGAGAAAGAAAAAAGCCAGGATTACATACCTGTAATCCCAGCTCTTAGGGAGGCAGAGGCAGGAGGATAGCTTGAGCCCAGGAATTCAAGACCTGCCTGGGCAATATAGCAAGACCCTGTTCTCCAGAAAATGTTAAAAAAAAAAAAAAAAAAAAAGTTTTAGGAAAAAAAGACTTTCCTCTAGGATTTTGTATTCCAGCAATTAGTACCATCCCTGGCAATATGAGGCAGGTGGCGGGCAGACCACAGATGACTTTCCAGTTTTGCTATTTGGTGGCTGTGTGACAGTAAAAAGCTTTCTTAACCTCTCTTAGCCTCAGCTCCTTCTTCTGTAAAGGCAGAATTCTTGCCATACCTTCAGATATCTGTGAGAATTCAGAGTGGCAATGCATATCAGACAAGAGTATGGTTTGTGGTAAATACTATTTTCCTTCCCAGATCCATATTGAAGGCTTGAAAGAATAGTTGCTGGACAGAGGGCAAACACATCAGGGAAGTACCTTTCAAAATCATCTGGGTACGGCCCTTTCTCTGCTTTGCATTAGTTCTTTCCTCTTTAATAAGTGGGACGCATGACAGCTCACACCTGTTATCCCAGCACTTTGGGGGGCCAAGGCGGGAGGATCACTTGAGCCCAGGAATTTGAAACAGCCTGGACAATATAGTGAGACCCAATCTCTTCAAAAAAAATTTAAAAATTAGCTGAGTATGGTGCTGCATGCCTGTAGTCCCAGGTACTGGGGAGGCTGAGGCAGGAGGATCACTTGAGCCCAGGAGGCAGAGGTTTAAGTGAGCCATGATTGTACCACTGCACTCCAGCCTGGATGACAGAATGAGACCTTGTCTTAAAAATAAATAAATAAATAAGGCCGGGCGCAGTGGCACATGCTCATAATCCTAGCACTTTGAGAGGTCGAGGCAGGCGGATCACTTGAGGTGAGGAGTTTGAGACCAGCCTGACCAACATGGTGAGACTCTGTCTCTACTACAAATACAAGCCTGGCGTGGTGGCTCCTGCCTGCAATCACAGCTACTCAGAAGCTGAGGCAGGAGAATTGCTTGAACCTGGGAGGCAGAGTTTTTGCAGTGAGCCAAGATTGTGCCACTGCACTCCAGCCTGGGTGATGGCCAGACTCTGCCTCATACATAAATAAATTGGCAGCAGCCAGCAGGGAGCTGATTCATTCAGGAAAGAGCCCTGAGGCCCGCCTCCCGGCCAGCACCTTGTGAAGACCTCAGCTTCCTACCCTGAACTCACCTCTTGGTGTCTCCGAAAAGGACGTTGCCCCTTTGCCAGACGCAACCAGCTTGCTCTCCTCCAGCACCAGTAAAAGCTTCCCAGAGGGGTGTTCTTGGGGAGCTTGCTTCCGTGGGCCCACTTGTCCACTGTCAAAAGCCCTTGGCCAGGAGCCCCTGCAAAGCAAAAGCCCAAGACACCATCCACCTTGGTCCTTGGGAGAAGGTGAAATCAAACAAACTGGTTACACCTTGGCAAATCATTTGGCCTCATTGTGCCTCAGTTTTCTCATCTGTAAAAAGGGCTTTTACATATTACTCACTTTATAGGGTTGTAATGAGGCTTTTCTGAGAGGTTTGAGTATATGTAAGAGGCATATTTGGTACAGTGCCTTGCATATAGTAATTGCTCAGTAAATGCTCAGTATTGTGGTTGTTAGCTGTCATTTAAAATCTCTCCAACCCTAAACAAGCCTCACTGAGCAGTTCAGAAGTTGCCAGGGCTTATGCTCAAGTCTGACTTCCTAGGCTACTGGGGAACAGACACAATCCTGCATGTAGTTTTTTGTTTGTTTTGAGACACAGTCTCACTCTGTCACTCAGGCTGAAGTGCAGTGGCACGATCTTGGCTCACTGCAACCTCTGCCTCCCAGGTTCAAGCAATTCTCATGCCTCAGCCTCCTGAGTAGCCAGGGTTACAGGCCCACACCACTACACATGGCTAATTTTTTTTTTTTAGAGATGGGGTTTCACCTTGTTGGTCGGGGTGGTTTCGAACTCCTGTCCTCAGGTGATCCACCCACCTCTGCCTCCCAAAGTGCTGGGATTACACATGTGAGCCACCACACCTGACCACATGGCTAATTTTTGTATTTTTAGTAGAGACAGGGTTTTCACCATGTAGACCAGGCTGGTCTTGAACTCCTGACCTCAAGTGATATACTGACCTCAGCCTCCAAAAGTGCTGGGATTATAGGCGTGAGCCTGGCCCCTTCATGCAGTTTCACTCACCTCCTTTCAGAATCAAGGAGTCTGATATTCCATCAACATCTAATCCACTCCTATAAACCAGCCTGCAATCCCAGCTGGAGAACTACAATCCAATCAGGGACTAAATCTAAATTCCTCCCATCTGATCCTTCAGATCCCTACCCATCCGACTAACCTCCCCTCCTCCAGAAATGTTATCAGTCCACTACACGCTTCCAATCACCTGTTCAGCCACCAGCCAAGAGCTCACTACTCCCCCTCTCCCAAGCTTAGACATGCAGTATAATGGACGCGCAACACCGGGAACTTTCACATTAAGCTCTTACTTTGAAACTTTGAACAAGAAAAAGAGTTGAAAAAGGCAGATCTCAGGCCGCACATGGTGGCTCACACCTGATATCCCAGAACTTTGGGAGGCCAAGGTGGGCGGATCACCTGAGGTTGGGAGTTCGAGACAAGCCTGACCAACATGGAGAAACCCCATCGCTACTAAAAATACAAAATTAGCTGGGCATGGTGGCACACCTGTAATCCCAGCTGCTCAGAAGGCTGAGGCAGGAGAAGCACTTGAACACAGGAGGCAGAGGTTATGGTGAGCCAAGATTGTGCCATTGCAGTCCAGCCTGGGCAACAAGAGCGAAATTCCATCTCAAAAAAAATAATAAAATAAAAAGTAGATCTCCTAACCTCAGTGAAATTGTAGGTAAAATTCCAAATAGAATATCCAAAATAAATGGTATAAGTAATGCTAATATATCATAATGTATTTATTATATGCATATATAAGATATATTTGGAATATATAGGTATTAGGTATTCTAAATTTCTATTATCTATCTATCTATCTTCATCTATCTATAGTCACCCCAAAGGCTAAAATAAAGTTTTCTGGGATTCCTTCTCTGGGTCCCCTCACACAACAGTATGGGAGCTTTCTTTCTCTCTCTCTCTCTAATAAATCGCTTTTCTGGAAAGAAAAGAAAAGAAGAAAAAAAAAAAAAAAAAGAGAAAGAAAGAAAGTTTTCCACACTCAAAAGGGAAATGGGGCTGGGCTCAGTGACTCACACCTGCAATCCCAACACTTTGGATTGTTTGAGGCCAGAAGTTCAAGACTAAGACCAGCCCCAGTAACATAATGAGATCCTGTCTCTACAAAAAATATTAAAATTAGCCAGGTACGGTGGTGTGCACCTGTAGTCCCAGCTACTCAAGAGGCTGAGGTGGGAGGATTGCTGAGCACAGGAGGTGGAGGCTGTAGTAAACTATGACTGCCCCACTGCACTCCAGCTTGGTAATAAACTGAGACCTTGTCTTGGAAAAAAAAGAGAGAGATAAAGTGAAATGCAATAAATTATACATCCTTTCATGACAAGAAAGAGCTAGAAGAATAACACGTGGCAGGTCCTGGTTTCTCTGAAGGGGCTGTTGAAATCAGCTCTATGATCAGAAGGGGACATGATTGTAGGTGGAGGCTGGAAAAAGGCTCTTTGAGCAACTGTTTAGATTTTGGGTTAAACCATTTGCACAGCTTGAAAAATATGCTCTCGAAAAAAATCTATCCAGCATCCATCTATCTATCTATCTGTCTATCTATCATCTATCTATCTACCTATCATCTATCATCTATCTATCATCTATATGTCTATCATCTATCTACCTCTCTATCGTCTATCATCTATCATCTACCTGTTTTTCATCTATCAATCTATCATCTATCTACCTATCTTAAATGAAATTCGTTGCCCCCTTCAACTCCTACTTCGTAAACTAACACTGAGAGCTTGTTAAGCTGGGTATCTAAATTACCTTTAAAGCACTCCCTTGGAGTTAGGTACTAGTTTTATCCTCATTTTGCTGAGTTGGAAAATGAGGCACAGGGCAGTTAGGCAACTTGCTGGAGGTCACACAGCTATTAGGTGTCAGAGCTGGATTGAAATTCAAATCTGATTCCAGAGCCAACGCTATTAACCACTAAGCTCTACTGCCTCCCTGTGGCGGTTCTCCCGTTGGGAGGGCATCTTCAGCAGCTTTCACAGATACCGTACCCACCTAGCCCACAACACAAACTCAATCTCCCCGTTGCTTTTCATAACAAACCCTATGCCCTGTGTTCATATTTTTGACATGCATAAAATATTGCCCCACCATGAGAAAAAAATACTTTGTTGATATGTGTGTGTTTTAACCAGTAACTACCACTTTCTTTCAGAACCATTAGAAAGAAAAACAATTTCTCACCCTTCCTATCTAAAACCAAAAGCATTCACTCACTGTCCATCCACAGCACAGGTTGGAAGCCACTTAGAGGTCCCGGGGGTTGAATCTAGTGAAGAGAATCTGATGATGCTTGGTGCACTTTGGGGTGAATTCATTTTGACACCTAGCTCTGAAGTTTTAGAAGTATCAGTGTTCTTCATATCAGTGTTTTAGATAGACGAGGCACACTAATTTTTTACTTTTTCTTTTCTTGAGACAGAGTCTCACTCTATCACCCAGGCTGGAGTCCAGCAGTGCAATCTCAACTTACCGCAGCCTTGACCTCCCAGGCTCAAGCGATCCTCCTACCTCAGCCTCCCAAGCAGCTGGGATTACAGGTGCACACCACCATGCCTGGCTAATTTTTGTATTTTGTAGAGATGGGATTTTGCCACGTTGCCCGGGCTGGTCTTAAACTCCTAGGCTCAAGCAATCCTCCTGCTTTGGCCTCCCAAAGTGCTGGGATGGGAGTGAGCCACTGCGCCCAGTCAAAATGTTCCATGTCTTTATCCAGATGGCGGTTATCTGGGTGTCCATGTAGGTAAAAATGCACTGAGTGGCTGGGCACAGTGGCTCACTCCTATCATCCCAGCACTTTGGGAGGCTGAGGTAGGAGGATCACTTGAATCCAGGAGTTCAAGACCAGCCTGAGCAATACGGCAAAATCCAGTCTCTACTAAAAATACAAACATTAGCTGGGCATTGTGACTCAGGCCAGTAATCCCAGATACCAAGGATGGTGAGGCATGAGAATCACTTGAACCTAGGAGGCAGAGATTGTAGTGGGCCAAGATTGTACCACTGACCTCCAGCCTACCTGACAGAGTGAGACTCTGTCAAAAAAAAAAAAAAAAAGCATTGAGCTTCACACTTTAGATTAGAGCACTTTACCCTCATTACTGAATTACTGAATATAAATTGCACCTTAAGGCTAAGCATGGTGTCTCACGCCTATTATCTCAATATTTTGGGAAGCTAAGGTGGGCACATCACCTGAGGTCAGGAGTTCCAGGCCAGCTGGCCAACACGGTGAAACCCCATCTCTACTAAAAATACAAAAATTAGCCAGGCCTGGTGGCACACACCTGTCAGCTACTCAGGAGGCTGAGGCACAAGAGAATCACTTGAACTTGGGAGGCAGAGGCTGCAATGAGCCGAGATAGCACCACTGCACTCCAGCCTGGGCAACAGAGCAAAACTTCATCTCAACAACAATAAAAAGTAAATTGGATTGGAGTGCAATGACTCACACCTGTAATCCCAACACTTTGGGAGGCCAACACTAAGGAGTCTTCCTAGCTGAAGTGAAGGTTTCCCAGGCTTTCTCACGAGATAATGCCTTTTAAATTTACAAAAGGAAAGGCTGAAATTAAATTGCCTCGTATCTTTCCATTGGCTGAATTTCCCTGTAGCTGCCTCTTGCTGAAGCCTGGGGTCTCCCTGGCAGCTGGACTGGGAGAAGGCAGGAAGTAAATGGCTGTTCTCTGAATGGGCTCTTCAGAGAAACGAGATTGCCTCACTGCAATCACTGCAAGAAGAACAGGACCTCAAACCTCTGGGGCCCAACCAGGAACTACACAACTGGTTCCTTTTCCAGAAAGCCCGCTCATAAGACGCACAGGCGGCCAATTTCCCAGGAACATATGGCACAGTGAGAGGCGTGTCTTCACCCAGAAGCTCAAGACAGTATCATCACTCACAGAAGCATCTATGGGAGGGTTGAGCCCAGGAACCCACAAGAGGCTCAGGGTGCTGCCATGAGCTTAGATGAGTGGGCTGAAACATCACCAGCCTCAGATTTAGGGCTAACAGAGACAAGCCAACACTGAATCACTTTGAAGCTTGAAATCAGGGTTTTAACCCCCATGCTACTTACATCTTAGGCCAGAAAACTATTTATTGTGAGGGCTGTTCTGTGCATTCTGGGGTGTTTAACAGCATCCCTGGTCGCTATCCACTAGATCACAGTAGCATCCCCCTTCCCCAGAGGTGACAACAACCAAAAATGTCTCCAGACCGGGCACGGTGGTTCACACCTGTAATCCCAGCACTTTGGGAGGCCGAGGCGGGTGGATCACGAGGTCAAGAGATCGAGATCATCCTGGTCAACATGGTGAAACCCCGTCTCTACTAAAAATATAAAAAACTATCTGGGCATGGTGGCGCATGCCTGCAATCCCAGCTACTCGGGAGGCTGAGGCAGGAGAATTGCCTGAAGCCAGGAGGCGGAGATTGCGGTGAGCCGAGATCGCGCCATTGCACTCCAGCCTGGGTAACAGGAGTGAAACTCCGTCTCAAAAAAAAAAAAGTCTCCAGATTTTGTCAAATGTCATTTTAGGGGACGCTGTCTCCCTTGGTTGAGA